GGCGACGACCATGTTTGGACTTGGACGACTCCGATGAGTCTGGGGAATCTTCCGTTTCGGTGTCGTACAATTCACTGGAGAAATTGGAGCTGCTTGAAGTCCGGGAGCCAGAGGAAGGAACGATGTAAGTCTTACATTTCCCTCCTTTCCCGTGGTCCTTTTCCACAACCTTGACTATGGGAGCCGCTGTGGCTTTTGGAGGTGGCGGTAACTTGTGTATTGGAGGCAGCGGCGGCAGTTGCTGAGGCGGTGGGCGCAGTCTTTCTTGCTGAGCCTGATGTTGCTGGTGCATGAGAAATTCAGCATGGTGGCGATCCTGCTGCATTTGTCGTTGAAAGTGGAGGTTTCGTGCCTCAGACTCTCTTTGCTGAATCAAGATCTCTTCCTCCTTCTTGCTGCGATACATTGCCAAGGCATCTTCCTCGAAGCGAGGTTCCTTTCTGAAATATGCCGTCACGGCGATCGTCTCGAACAAGTTCTTCTTTGACTTGGACAACGCTGACTTCCCTCTTGCAACAACAACTTTCTTCGCTTCTCTGTCCGCCATATATTGTTGATATTGGTAAGAGTCCTTGTGGAGCTTCTTCATCTTGGAGCTAATCTGTTGCAGGGTATAGCGATAGCGCTTGTCGGTGTTGCGTTTCTCCAGCGCGTTCTGTGCCTTTTCGATCTGCAGCTGCTGGTTTGGCGTGAGGTCCATCTTCTTCTGCAGGGCAGTTTGACCTTCCTCGTTGAGTTCCCGGATGTTCCTGATGATGTCTTTCCGGGACAGGTCACGAACCTCAACCCGTCTGACGTTTTCCCAAGTTGGCTTCGTTGGGAACCCTTCAATGTCGGTCTCCATGGGATCCAGGACCTTTTCGAAGCGATATACGACGTACTCGGACAGGTATTCGCGTGCGCTAGCGTCCGTCATTCGTTCGCTTCGAAGGTCCGAATATTCCACGAGTCTTCTCTCTCGCAGCTCGGGAGGGATTTTATCCCGTGGGGGCTGTATCGGCACCTGTTGTACTGGCATTTGTTGGAGCGGCACCGGTGGCGGCATGTGGTGGATAATTGGTCCTGGGTGCGCTGGGTGATGTGCTATGGGAGGTCGGGCTACAGCAGCGGGAGGCATTTGACCTCCAACAGGCCTGACGGGAGGCGGCGGAGGCCCGGGGTGTCTGACAGCGAATGGTCCCGGTACCTGTGCCCGGCCCGGCGGAGGAGGTGGAGGAGGAGGCGGTCCATGATGATGCGGCACCTTGGCTCCAGCCGGGTGCGGCGGTGGAGGAGGAGGAGGTGGTGGAGGTTGACCACCTCCCCCTGGCGCGAACTTGATAACTCCAGGTGGGAGTGCCATGTTGGTGTTGAGCAGCAATAGGGGATTTTGAAGATGGCGATGCAGCTCGGTGAGTCAGGGGAGAGAGGTAAGGGTTGGTTATATGGACTCTTCAAGGCCGTGGCCAACGTGAAGCAAAAGCGCAGCAGTAAGAAGGGACTAATGTGCAAAACCAGTTGCCTCGTTCAGAGAAAGAGCACAAAAACGGTCCCGAGTCCCGAGACGTCGACAGTGAAAGTGAGGCGAACCACTTTTCTATGGGAGGGTGTATGAGACAAGAGTCGAGGGATCAAGAGGGTGTGGAGGTGCGCTGTCTTGTTGTCTTTATCTTTGCCAGAGACGACAGACACACAGCGCAGGACTTTGCTCAGCGGCGACGGCGACGTGACACTTACAGCCACAGTGACACTGATCTAGGCAGCACAAGGTTGCTCAGGTCTAGTGTCGGACCTAGGAAACGGGGGGGCGTTTTTATTATTCGGAAGCAGACGAAGATACAGACGGAGAAATGAAGAAACGGCCGTCAGGGGCTCCGTTTAGTCTTTCAAGCAGAGCGATAACTCTCACCGCCTGGAGGACAACTTTCTCCTGCCATTATTCAGCCTATCACTGGCTCTGCCACGCCACCTCTTCCATCAGCCATATTCTTCCTGGCGAGGCAACCATTATTATCCTTGTCGGTGAGATGGTGGGCATTGCCGCTCACCTTGTCTCGGCAGCCTGGTCTCCGCGAGCGGCACTTCCCACACCTGGGATTCTCCAAGTGAGATAATCCTCCGCAATTCAAAGGATCCAAGGTGCTTCTCAAAGTGTTTAAGCCTTCAGCCGTGCGGCCAGAAATTGAGCCAAGCGCGTACGTACTCGAGGCCTGGAATCGATCACGACTAGTCTTGGAATCGGTACAGACCTTTGGTTTCGCTGAACACTGGCCAGGTTCCTCGAGCAAAGTGCAGTCATCAGACTCAAAATATCCCCCCAAAAAAACCATTGGGGTCTATCTTTGAGCATCCTTGCAGACTGCGACTACATACCCCGCAACCAACGGGGTCGCTTTCTCCCGCGACGAGGAAAACGAGGTGCGGGAGGGCGCGTCGCGGCATGATCACCTGGGTTGCAATGGTCCGCAAACGAGGCAACCGGCCAGCTAGACCATCATCGATTTCAGACTCTCACCGAAGCTGGCTGTGCCTCTTTTAGGGATTGCAGGGGTTGCGTATGGCTTCGTGCACTTGCGCGGGGTGATGGCGAATGAGTGCAGCCCCAGCCTGGCACCGCCCCAATCGGGGCTAGAATTCTTACACTTTTTGGTACTTATATCAACCATCACTCGACATCCACTAGGATTCCGGCTTGAGGCCTCCAATTGGCAGAAGAGGAGCATCAACTGACCAGATAAAGGAGCGAGCATTAACGTGCATGAGCAGTTACACGATAGTGGCTTTCCCCGCCAATCAAGCGTGCACGAAACAATATCCTGATCTACTTTATACCTCTGCTCGGTCATAGGAGCAGAAGTCATTCACCCGGCGATCGCGGTCGGTCAAGAAGCCAGTGATGCACGTCTTGCTGCATTGCAACGCAGAACGCCCGTCATCACCGGGACAAGAGGAAGCTCGTTGACGCGATTAAACACGGATACTGAAATTCGGTACCGCCTTCGGTGCCGTGAGACGGCATCAAGAAGGTAGTCGCCGTGGCGCCAGGTTGCACTTTGCAAAATGCAGTTCCAGTCGCAGGACTCCTCCGTATTGATTCCAGGGACGGCTGCCCATGAGACAGACTAGAGAAGCGGGAATAAGGATCTCACAATCTTGTTTTGGAGACTCAGTCTGACAGCTAGCCTATTCCGTCATTTTCGATGATCCGGCTTACAGCCCCAAGGCTTCGAGTCCGCCCACCTATCAAGTCGTCGATTAATACCAAGCTCCGTCAGGGACTGGCGATGTGAGGATGAGACAAGATGGCCCTCCGTCTCAGTCGCTATCGCAGAGCCGCAGCTTGATAGTTGCCTAACGGGAACTTATTCGCGACGGTCGGCTTGGCTCCCGGCACCATCCATGTTGACGTACAACATTGGATGAAGTTATGGATCTCGACCCATTCTTCCCGAAGATCATCACGGCAAGACAAGGAAGTCCCTGTTTTGAAATACGACGTCTACTGAGGCAGACCATCTCCGGATGCCGGTCCAACTACTTTGGTTCGAGACCGCAGGCCATGAGCTGTTTTACCGTGCCACGTTTATCGATCGTGATGGTAAGGAGTGGTGTCTGTCGTCAGTTCAACGACTTGTCCTACAAAAGGCGCAGAAAGCTTCATGCCTAGGGCTATCTTGAGGCTCGTCATATTCCACACGGCCGATTTCACATCGCACAGAGACAGCCACAGTGTTTCCACAGGGCTTTTCAACGCCATACACACAAAAATGGTCTTTTGCAGTGGGGTGTTCGAAGATGCAACAGACCGAAAACAGAGGTATCACAGGCCAGGCATACCAAGCCTGCGGGCTGTTGCTGTACAGTACTTACACAGCAGGCGTCTCTCACCTGCCGTTCGACATTATCTCAACCCAACCATCACACACGTACGATGCGAAGGCCCAACTAATTACTCAGGCTGGGCGCTGAAGTAAAAATGTCCTGTTCCACTGAGGTAAACTTTGTTCACGTACCACGCGCAGACGGTTGTGAACGGCTTCATGACAGGCGGGAGGGAGCATCATCGCCGTCATACAGGGTTAACGGTTCTCGGAAGACAGTTGGAAACTCAAAAACGGTTTCTGTCCATCACTAGTTCTGTCCATCGTGCAGCTCTTCGTCATCATCGTTCCACCTGTCAAAGATGAGGAGACCCATCCGAAGAACCCGACTCTAAGCCGGCTCTCCAAGATCGTTCCTTAATGGAATCGACGAAGGGGTTTTCATTCCGCAAGACGGGTCATGCGCTGACGCTGAACCCTCCCTGCAGCGAAAAAAGTACTTGGCTTCCAATAACTACGACATGCGTACACCCACCCTATCAGGCTGCGCCCGGTCTAAGTGCCAGCGTCGTAGATGGCGCAAAATCTATTCCAAAATGCATTTTTCCTTCTGAAGTGTCGTTCAATTTACCGTTCCATTGTCTCAAGAGGCGAGAGGTTCGCAAGTTGCCTTGCGGTTGCCTCGTTGCTTGGCTTACACGACGATTGGGATTTGTAAGATTCTAGGTTCCGATTCTTTACGTGGTTTTTTTGCACAATGTGCCTTTTATTTTCTTCCTCGTCGGATCTACGTTTCTTTGCCTAGCGCACAGCGGCGCGGTATGGATGACGCCCACTGGAATACCCGCAACGAGTCATCTGGTGCCTGGACAGCGTGTCTGTTGCACTGCATTCGGTGATGACCGGTTCGGCATCCGAGGCAAATGTGCTCTTACACAGAGGAAGAGAAAGTGAAGCCTTTAAACAAGGTATGTTTGATAACAGTGGCGTGCAAAAGCTACTCTGCAAAACAGCACATTCAGCCTTGATTTCGGCGGCCCTGAGCCTATCCCATCAACCCATGTCTTCACGGCTGTTCCCGGCGACGCCATCAACGCCATGTCTTATTTCTTGCCCTGCAAATGAAGGAGCTCTCCCGAGGAACTTTGCAAGCTCGTCACGATATCAACTATTGTAAACACAGTATTCTCAATGAAGACAGGGCGATTGGTTTAGTGGTATAACGACCCCTTCGCATGGGGTAGGTCCTAGGTTCGACTCCTAGATTGTCCATCTTTTTGCCTCTAGCGATGAGTGTAATGTTTTGTGCCACCGAGAGCATTGGGAGACACTTCTGCTGACCTTGCGGCCCCCTGTTTCGCTTTCGTTGACGGCACTATTCACTTACATTTGTGCTGACAAACGCAGTCGATTGAGCAAGGAAACTAGCCTATCCCTTCCCGGTCCCCTAGAACTGTTTCTTTCCTTTCTGATTGCGGCCTGAGACCTAGCCGTCATCCGCATGGTGCCTGATCCGACGACACACCCAGTATCATGCACTCCGGAATCATAACGCCTTTCGACGTCCGTTTTCCGGTAAACGACAGTAGATAATGCTCTCTCATGCTGTCAATTCTTCTTTCGACTAGATCCGTGACACGCATACACCGCTTTTTGACATGGAGATACGGATCCAGGGGGGTTGAATCACGACATTAGCGTCGGACGATTCCTATGACCAGTCATACCGACCTCTACGATCCGGTCGAATAGAGGCTACATAGAATGAGTGTGCGGTTGTACGTGGCCTCGAATGTTGCTGGTTAGTGGCCTTGGCTTGGGTCTGGATCGGAAGATGCTACCACCGGGTCGCAGGCGGTGCCTCCGGCATCGAATGACTGGTGGGCGGGCTTGAACGAAGGTCTGGAACTTATCGGCATATCTTTGGGGTTGTACATTCATGATGCAGAGTGACAAAATCGGACGGTCAGTTTGGTTTGCAAGGCGGCAATTCTTTTAGATCAGGTTGATACTGTGTTCCAATTATTACCAACGTGACTCTTCCCAGGCCCCTGGAATTCTAAGTCGTTTCTGCTTCTGGAGATACCCGGACTTGTAGAGTTTCTTCGACTGCCTTCTCGCGAACCTCTCGTCGTATAATCTCTTTGCATAATCAAAAGAAGTCCGACGATCTGCCCAGTCTTCAACCCAATACAGGCTCTTCAATATGTCGTCGAAATCGTAGTCTCTTGCCACTGAGTCTTGGTATGGCCAATCATCTTCGCTGGAGACCTGCCTATTTGGGGAGTTCTTCCATGAAATATGTTGACGGCGGATATCTTTGTCCGCTTCCTCCGACCAACGGGCAATGAACACAGGAGGACGTTCCCAGGAGCCGAAGTTCCTAAACTCTTGTCTAACCTCGCTTGCTGGACTATCGGGGTCAACCCAACGGCGTTGAATAGGAACTTGGAACCCGCAGATGATCTTCAATCCCAGAATCTGGGGCCAGGCGTCATTCGCACGACCTGGGTTTTCAAAACCAAAGCGATCCTCACAATAAGCTGTCTCCCATCTTAAATATTCCACCATGTCAACCCCAGCTGTCTTCAGCACACTAAGCCAGCATGATATCGTATACTCGACCTCTCGCTGGCATCTGGAAGAGTAAAGCATCATACAGAACGAAGTACACCACGCAAAGTCATCACCCTCAAGGGGAAGCCCGCCGGCGCTGCACAATCTGTGAATGTCGACGCCCTCGCTGATAAGAGCACAGAAAATACTGGCCCACGAAGCCATGGTTTGGCTGTCTGGAATCCAAAGATGCCCATGGACCGCATCATCTCGGAAGGCATCGACTGCTGCGTCCCACGCTGCATTGAGTAGAGAGTTTCTTTGCATCTTGTCAACTTCGGAGGCTCGTATTCGCTGATAGTAGTAAAAGAAATGCGACCGCTCAAGTCTCAAGGAGCGAAGCCACTGCATCCGTGTAGTGGCAGGAATACCCATCGAGAGGAAGACATCATCCAGGTTCGACAGGCGTGAACATTTTTCAAATTCTGTGCCTCTCAATGGATGAGTGTACGAGATCACTTGACCTTCGCCAATGATGGGTCTACAGAGACTATAGATGTTGTCAGTATTATTGTAACTGAGTTCTAATCATAGGTACTTACTCTTCTCCAAGACACTGTTGCAAGTTCTGGCGGGCTAGAAAGCGGCAAATATCTGGCTCATGCAAAGAGGCAGCAAACTTATTCGGTTATTGTCAACTTCTGTGACCTGCAGAGACTAAAAGGGAAATCCTACCTCGAATAATGTCATGCGAGCCACGAAAGATGTGGGAGTGACCTCACGGGCCAGAAGCATCTGCTGGAGTCCCGATAAATCACCACGTATAATGGTAGTTCGGAGCTTCGAGAAAAGCTCAGGGTGGGTTTCGGCTGAAACATAGTGCCGTAGGCTCAAAGAATAGGAGACGGGACTCAGTGTATCGAATCTCCAACGAAATTCAATCCGGTAAGCCCAGCCCCGAACACCAAGCGAGTATGCTTTGGACTCTTTCACATTTACCAGCCCATCTTCGTCACGCGAACGCAACGTTTTCGTGGTTTTGGTTACTTGCACTTCACCAAATATACCGACTGCTCGAACAGCTTCGCAGCGAGATTCTTCCACGTCAGAGATTGTGTTTGGCCGGATCAATTGAAGCGAACCTAGACTGGCTCCGGGAGTCAGGGCCGGACGAGGTGCTGATAAACTGGTCTTAGTGGCGTGCTGAGGCAGAAGTAACTGCTCCAAGATCTCACAACGCGAGCTGCGATGGTTGAAGGTTAACTTAGGCTTTCAGTCCATTCGGTAAGCCTGGGAAGGTACTGGCAATATCTCCGTAGTCATCATGTGCTGCAAGTGATTCAGATCTTCTTCCAAGCAAGTGCTCAATCGGGCTATGTCATCCTTCTTTTCTAGGAAAGTGAACCCCACTGTATGAAGAGCGCGCTTCTTGGACGCCCTCCTCTCGAGCTTGGTCACGATGCCATGAAGTTCCACGAGTGTTGACTGTATATCTCGCAAGACGCAAACGCCCCAACTCTCCCTCAGTCCAGAGCACCGGCGGCCCGCGTCACTACCCTCGAAGTTTTTCATGATGGCGCCACATATGGCCTCGACCCGCTCGACTTTGAGCGCCAGGCGGTTGATCTCGGACGAAGCAGATCGATACGTGCCGATGACTCGCTTGACCCTCATTGCCGAGTCTATAAGTTGTAAAGAGAGTCCGATGATGCCGATTGCTGCCTCCATTGTGGGCCACGACTCGCCTTCGAGATACACTACCTTCGTTCAGAGAATCGTAAATGAAGCAGTTGATATGCTGAGTATCTCTTTCAGTCGTGACGACGGGTGCTGAGGGGATTGCCTGATGGCACATATGCGTGTCGCCTAGAGGCTGCAATTGGCCAATGGGGTGGGCGCTGCATGAGGTCCTCCAACGAGATGCCAACAGAAGCACGGGGGTGAGAGGCCGCCTGCTTCTTGGCCCAATGGGCGCATCCATTGCTGGCATTGCCGCGCTCGCAAACACAGCCTCCTGCCACCTCCATAGGTAGAAGTGGCAGCATATCTGACAAGTTCGTGGCCCCTGACCCAGAAATGCACTGAGTGGTCTAGAAAGCAAAGAGGAACGAGGGAGGCCTCAAAGCAGGGTAGTATATGTATATAACCAGGTTATGCAATTATTAATTTCGTAGCTGACCGATCTACCCCTAAAGTGTGTACTAAGAACGTCTAATTATGTAGATCCAACTACTTTATGTGCATCCTCTATCTATCCTTCTCACCTTCTTCAATTATTTACTCAAACGTAGAAATCCAATGGCAAATTCAGAAACTTGCACTGCTCCAAATCCTTGAACCCTCTCATCATTTGCTTCTCTACTGGCCAGTCAATGGATCTCATACTCATGTTGCCTTTCATCGACGGCTCCCAAGGCCCGGACTTCTCAAAGGCCTCCAACGTGGAGTTGAATCCTCTAGCTCGGAGGAAGTCCTTGTCGGGATTCGGGTCGTACGTCCTCGCAAATGACGTAAACGTATCAACGAGATACTGCTCCCAAGGCAAGTCGTACTCATCTCGGAACGGCAGACGCTGTCGCGCGAGGTTGCCGAACAACGACACCAGCTCTCCGGAATGGCATCGCAGGTTGTCGGTGGACGACTCCGGGTTCCCGTTCGGATGTTCCTTAGACTTTGGTGCCTCACAGAGATCGAGCCGCGGCCATTCTGGTGTCTGATACGTCCGCTCAAACTCGTAGTAGTACACCTTCGACCCCAGCACGCCGCTTTCGAGACCCGCGTACACAGTCGCCTGGTCTATGCAGCGAAACATGGCATCTGTGGCGAGTCGAGCGCCGACACCAAACGCTTGCCTCGTCTTGTTCGTTGTCGTATTCAATGGGGGAAATAGATTTCGCGGCGGGTCTGGAAGCCCTTGGGAAGTGAGCCACAGGGTGGTGTTCGGGACGGTGCCATTCTCGGGAAAGATGAGAAACGCAAGACCATCCTCGGCGGTCGTTCCCATCATTAAGTGGACGTCCATCTTATCACCACTGAGCTGCAGCTCATTCGACGTCAGGTACTTGCCATCCACGACCATATAGCGAGCTCCGCGGTTGAGCTTCTCGACTGGTACTCGACGGAGACAATCAACACGCGACCGGTTGTTGGTGCAATTCGTGGCGTTGAGAATGGTGTTACCGACCACTTCCATCGCTTGATCGATTGTGAAGTACTTGGCGTACGAAGCCCCATACGTCAGTCCGCCTAGGCTGCTCATGGGAATCGCTGCTGCAAACTTGCCCTTTGCCTTGGGTGACGCCATCAAAGCGCGAACAGAAGCGCCCCCAGCAGACTGGCCAAAGATTGTGATTCTGGCAGGGTCTCCGCCGAAGTCCCTAATATGCTCCAGGACCCAGTCTAGTGCTACTATCTGGTCGGCGAGGCCAAAGTTGCCATTCGTCACGTTGTCGTCCAGCGCAAGGAACCCGAGCGTGCCCAGTCGGTAGTTGATGGTGACAACTACAACATCACCCCGCGAAGCAACATTACCCCCGTCGAATAGAGGGTCGCTGCCAAAACCGCTAGTGAGAGCACCTCCATGAATCCAAAACATGACTGGCCGAAGCCTCTTATCCGTTTGTCTAGATCGTGGCAGGTACGGTGTATAAATGTTCAGGAAATGGCAGTCCTCGCTGCCGCCGAACCCCTGATAACACGGAGAGCCGAATTCGAGG